GACCACAAACCTGTGTAATTCAGGTGTGAACTGCTCTCCAAGATGAATTTTAATGGTATACTTACATTTCAATTAAGCTTTTTTTTTACAGATGTTGTCGTTCCATAAAGTGATTTAATGTGAGAATAACAACATATGGCATAAACAAAAATTAGACAGCATGCAGTTTTAACCACTTTGCGCCGGCAACTCCCGGCCCTTTAAGAGATTCAAAAGCCGGGAGGCGGGCGGGGTTTTAGGGTCATGTGACCGCCGTGATTCGCCATCACATGATCAGAAAAGGTCCTGATCGCAAGGGGAGATTAGGACCTTTCCGTAAGTCATGGACATATGTGCTAGGAGCGCGCAGGGCCCACGCTCTCAGCACATACGTATTTTCTAATGGCACGCAAATATGCAGCAGCTCGGCATCAAGGCCCGAATGCCGAGAGGCCCCATATTTGCGTGCGCTCGGCGTCAAGGGGTTAAATACAAATAAGGATGAACAATGAAGTTACATACAGTCATGGCCAAAAATGTTAGCACCCCTGCATAGGTGTAGCTTGAAGCTTGTGGGCATGATGCAAAAGTTGATCTGGGGCCCCCACTACTTTCCACCATGCACCAAGATATGATAGCTGTATGGTTGCGGTCTCTCTCTCCTCTCTTTCCTGCTGCCGTCTGAATGTACACACAAAGTGGGGGCAGGCAGGCCACACTCTGAGCTGTCGGGTTAAAGCGGTAGGTTTGTATTTACAAGAGGAAACTCAGCAGGCCCTCTGACTTCCAGATCCACATACAAGCCCACCGTTTTCACTCAGCAGCTCACAGTGTGGTCTACCTGCCCCCACCTTGTGTGCATGTGCAAGACTGAGCAGGGGCAGGAGAAGGGTACTGTACTGGGCTGGGTGGGGGGCTGATCAGAGAGTGTGCCACTGCAGATATCAAACTTTTTTTTTTTAAATAAAAACACCTTTCTTATATACGTTATTAAACAGCACCCAGTTACCTCTCTTATGGCCAAACTGCAGTGATATGGAGGTGCAAATTATTAGGGAAAAGTAACACTCCCCTTCCTGCTAATGACACCTGCCCTCCTGCCTCCTCTTGGTATGACCCCTCCTTCAGAAGCCCCCACTTCCTGTAAAGACAGATGACCTCCCCTCCTGGTAATGATATGTCCCTCCACCAGGTAATGACAGATAACCCCCCCCCCCCCTCACCACCAGGTAATGACAATTGACCTCCCTCCCCCAACAGGTAATGACAGATGGCCTCCTTCCCCCCACCAGGTAATGAAAGATGACCCCCCCCTCCCCCACCAGGTAATGACAGATGACCCCCCCTCCCCCACCAGGTAATGACAGATGACCCCCCTACCAGGTAATGACAAATGACCCCCCTCTCCCCCACCAGGTAATGACAGATGACCCCTCCTACCCCACCAGGTAATGACAAATGACCCCCCTCTTCCCCACCAGGTAATGACAGATGACCCCCACCTTCAGGTGCCCTCCTCATTGAAAGAACATGGCTGAATTACTGATCCCCACAGCACCATCCTGGTAATGTCACATTATCCCCCCCTCCCTCCTTTTCTGACAATCCAGCTCCCCCTCTGCTCATCCTGCTGAAACTGTCAAAGAAAAATCTGCAGCGTCTGGAGCCCACAGTCCCTCGGGGCCCCTCAGGAGGTGTTACAGGATTTTGTGAGAATTTTTGTGTGCCAGCAGGAGTTGTTGGGAGGGGTGGGGTGGTTTGTGTCTGTTCTCTGCACGGATCCGACTGGTATCTTTTTACCTCCCCAATGACAGCAGTGCCAGCTCCTGGATGGTGCTCTCCCCCTCTTCCCTCGCTCAGCTCAGTGTCCATCCCCATCTTGTTGTCAGCACTGACACTTTTCCGTCCAGCAGGGCTGGTCTCACCCCATGCTTCCTCAGCTACTCTATGGCTCAGGGCTTGAAAATGGAGCCAAAAGCTCAGAGCTTCCGCTTTGCCCGTGATAGTGACAGGGAGACAGCACGGGCCCCTCTGGAGTATAAGCAGGCTCACAATTTTGACCCTTGACCCTTGATGCTACGCAAATTGCACCCCTGCATTTCTGTCAGATAATGCACTACTTTACCCAGAAAATTGTTGCAATTATAAATGTTTAGGCATTCTCATGTTTATTTCTTTTGCTTTTATTGGTATGAGGGAGGGGAGAAGCAAAAAGCCAAATCTGACACATTCCACGCAAAACTCCAAAAATGTACTGGAAAAAATTATTGGTACCCTCAATTTAATATTTGGAAGCACATCCATTGGAAAAAAAATTTGCTTCCTGGAACCATCAATGAGTTTCTTATACATCTCTATCGGAATTTTGGACCACTCTTCTTTCGCCAATTTGTCCAGGTCTCTCAGATTGGAAGGGTTTCTTTTTCCAACTGCTGTTCTGATATCTTTCCAAAGGTGCTCTATAGAATTGGGATCTGGATGCCATACTGGCCAGTTCAGTACTCTCTAGCACTTTGTCTTGAACCATTTCTGGGTGCTTTGTGATGTAAGACCCATGACCTCTGATGGAGACCCAACTTTCTCATACTAGGTCCTCCATTGCACCCCAGAATTCTAAGGTAGTCTTAAGATTTTAGAATGCCATGCACATGGTCAAAACATTCATTGCCTGAAGCAGCAAAGCAACCCCAAAAGATCAGTGAACCTCCAACATGGTTGACTGTCTTTAAAGGTCTAATTTCTTTTTCTGAAAATAGTAGAATGATGGACTTTACCAAAAAGCTGTAATTTTGTTTCGTCTGTCACACATTATCCCTAAAGGATTTTGACTTCCTCAGGTAAGTTTTGGCAAACTCCAATCTGGCCTTTTTATGTTTCTGCCAGGAGTGGGGTCCTCCTGGGTCTCCTACCAAAGCATCCCTTTTCATTGAGATGGTGACATATAGTGCAAGCTGACACAGTTGTACCCTGTACCTGAAGGTCAGCTTGAATTTGTCTGGAAGTTGATCCGGGTTCTTTATCCACCATTCAAACAATCCTTCATCGCAATCTTTGATCAATTTTTTCTCTTTCGTCCATGTCCAGAGAGATAACCTACAGTGCCATGGGCTGTAAACTTCTTGACAATGTAGCCCACAGTGGACACAGGAACATTAAGATATCTGGAGATGGACTTGTAACCTTGAGATTATCCATGCTTTTCCACACTTTTTGTACTCAAATCCTCAGACAATTCTTTGCTCCTTTTTCTCTTCTCCATGCTTCATGTGGCCCACAGACACGCACAACAGAAAGGTTGAGTAAATTTTTCACCATTTTATCTGGTTGCCGATGTTATTTCTACATTGTGAGCACCTTTTAATTGATACAAGTAAGTTTAATTACAAATTACAGGAGCATCACAAACTTGGAATGCAATTATTTCTTACAATTTTGAGAGTGCAAAAAATTCTGTCAGGTCCATTTTTGGGGTTTTGCGTGGAATGTGTCAGATTTGGCTTTTTGTTTCTCCACTTTTTTGTATTATACCAATACAAACAAAAGAAATAAACATTTGAATCCCTAAACATTTGTAGTTAAATTATTTTCAGGGTGAAATGGTGCATTTTCTGACAGAAATGCAGGGGTGCCAATATTTTTGGCCATGACTGTATAACACATAATTTAAAAAAGGCTTCATTTAATACTATTGGATAGAGAAGGTAATCCTTCCTCCTGTCAGGATACTTTTGTTGTCCGTGTCCCATCAAAAAGATTTTCATTCAATCTCTGTTCTGGACACATAGCAGGGGAGTGGGAGGAAATCTCAGTACAGGTAAGGGAACCTCCCCTTTTTACAGTTCCTTAAAGTGGAACTGCACTGCATCTGAGCACCACAAACCAAAAACACTATGTAATTCATTTTTAATATTCATAGCATACTCCCCCATCCATCCATGTCTCCATGCTTTATTTTGCTGAGAAATCATTTTGAAAACTTCCCCCTGGCATTTCTGACAGTGGCCATCTTGAGTAAAGGCAGATGATTTATGTATCATTTACTTCCTGGAATCCATCTGCCCTTAGCTCAGCCATAGGCTGAGCCGATAACCCTCCTGAAGACTACTGGGATGTATGACATCATGGACACCAGGAACTAACTGAAGATATATAAAAAAAACAAGCAAATACAATTTACTTTCCTATTTACTAATATTAGCATAAGTATTAAAAATAGTCCATGTTGATTGAGAGTGAAGTTCCACCAAGTTTTGGATTTAGATACATTTAAAATACATTTCAGGGGGTATACAAAGCACATATATCTAATTGTAGACTTAACTTATATATGAGATACAACACTTGTTGGGCCTAACTGCAAAACGTGACATTTAATAAAATTCTTTGCTCTTTGCTTTTTATCTACAACACGTGTATATATTACTATGTGATCATGTGTTCAACAAGTTTGGAAGCAAATAGAATTTTAATTCCTATTCTATAAACTGGCAATTATCATAGGAGAAGCAACAAAAATAAAATTCACTTATCCAAGAGCTAATTCTTCAAAAAAGTCAGGCTAATACAAGATGATACCGGAAGTTGCTTTGGGTGACTGCACTGAAAGTTCACCTTTTGACAAAACATAATACCGTATTTGCCGGCGTATAAGACGACTGGGCGTATAAGACGACCCCCTACTTTTCCTGCTAAAATGTAGTGTTTGGGCTATACTCGCCGTATAAGACTACCCCTCTTCCAATGCACACCAGTGGGAGGAATAGTGCCCCATCATCCGTGTCAGAGGGGGGAAAAGTGCCCCATCATTGGTATTAGTGGCAAGAATAGTGCCCCATCATTGGCATTAGTGGCAGGAATAGTGCCCCATCATTAGTATCAGTGGGGGGGGATAGGTGCCCCATCATTGGTATCAGTGGCAGGAATAGTACCCCATCATTGGTATCAGTGGGAGGAATAGTGCCCCATCATTGGTATCAGTGGCAGGAATAGTGCCCCATCATTAGTATCAGTGGGGGGAATAGTGCCCCATCATTGGTGTCAGTGGGAGGAATAGTGTCCCAACATTGGTGTCAGTGGGGGGTGGAATAGTGTCCCCATCATTGGTGTCCGTGGGGGGTGGAATAGTGCCCCATCATTGGTGTCCGTGGGGGGGGGAATAGTGCCCCATCATTGGTGTCCGTGGGGGGGGGAATAGTGCCCCATCGTTGGTGTCAGTGGGGGGGAGGAATAGTGCCCCATCGTTGGTGTCAGTGGGGGGAGGAATAGTGCCCCATCATTGGTGTCAGTGGGGGGGGGAATAGTGCCCCATCGTTGGTGTCAGTGGGGGGGGGGGAATAGTGCCCCATCGTTGGGTGTCAGTGGGGGAAGGAATAGTGCCCCATCATTGGTGTCAGTGGGGGGGGAATAGTGCCCCATCGTTGGTGTCAGTGGGGGGAGGAATAGTGCCCCATCGTTGGTGTCAGTGGGAGGAATAGTGCCCCATCATTGGTGTCAGTGGGAGGAATAGTGCTCCATCATTGGTATCAGTGACACCAATGATGGGGCACTATTCCTCCCACTGACACCAATTACACTTGCTGACCCTGTTCTAGTATGGTGCTGCTGCAGCCAGCATATGTGGTTCGAGCAGCATCTCTACACTGAACACTTACCTGCTGCTCCTGCACTCTATTTTCGCGGGGCCGCTCGGTTCCGCCCCCTCGCCGGTGATTGGCCGCCTGTGTGCCTTTCCTGAGCTACAGTTCTGGCGGCCAATCACCGGTGAGGAGGCGGAGCCGAGCAGCCGCACGAACATCCAGTGGCCGAACTGAAGGAGCAGCCGCGCTTCCTGGAGCGGATCATCGTGGGACCGGAGCCAGGTAAGAAAACAGCCCCTGCCCACCCCTGTCCGTTGGAAGGGGGGGCGGCGGCGGCACCGCGCCGCCCCCCTAAAAAGTGTCAGTATGCCGTATACCGGCGTATAAGACGACCCCCGACTTTTGAGAAGATTTTCAAGGGGTAAAAAGTCGTCTTATACGCTGGAAAATACGGTAAAATGAAAATGTTTTTGCAGGTAAAAAAATGTGCATTTATTATTTTTTGCTGCAGGAGCCTGTATAGCATTGCACCAGTGATCAGCGGATCGCTGGTGCCATGCAGGTCTATTGCAGACCTGTCAGTATATATCTGCTTGCCCCTACGGGATGTACGAGCAATCAGATATACTGACAGGAAGATATAGTGAACTACCATGGCGCTGTGAATGAATGATGTGGCTGTGTGGGTGTAGCCCCGCACAGTTCTGCTGTTTTTAAAAAGTGACAACTAGTAAAGGGAACTTCTCTCACCGTACTGTTGTCACAGGGAGGGAGGCTAAATCGGGCAGCAGCTGCAGCATTGGGAACATGTTACACCTGTTTTTAGGGAGGAACATGTAACTCGTTCCCGAAGGTGAACTTACCCTTTAAATATTAGAGCTCTTTATTGAATAAAGCCAATCTGTAATAAACTAACCAAAGTAATTTTAGAAAAAAAGGTGGTAATAATTAAGAACAAAAAGTTTGCGTTCAATTTCTAATTTACACAAAGGACACAAAGAATCTGAATGTTGAAGTGGATAACACTACATTATTAGATGTCATGAATGTCATTGATTATTGTGTGTTAAGGTGAACCTGTGAGGGTAGAAATAAGTTTTAAAGATACAGACAACAGGACTTTCATCCTGATGCTGGCTTCCATACCTAGTTGGCTACTGATCCAAAACAAGCATGTACCTGAGTGAAGCCTGAATCGCAATACTGATCAAGGTTATTGTCTTACTAGGTAGCTAGGCCAATGGTAGCTCTACATGCCTGGGCCTTAAAAAATAGATAATCAATGGCTACTTCCAATTTTCTGCCCTTACAAGTATACTTTAAAAAGGATACATTCACTTTTTTTTTTAAAAGAAAAAAAATACACATTTTTGCTCGAAAAATGTGCATTTATTATTTTTCCATCAAAGGCAGCAGGAAAAAAATGTGCATTTAATATTATTTCCATCAGGAGCCTGCAAAGCATTGCAACTGTGATCAGTGGATCAGGGGTGCAATGTCAGACTCCTGCAGACAAGCCCTACAGCTTTCAGACCTCTGATATGGGCTGACTGTGTACAAGCTGAAGGGCTTGTGAATGAACTACAAGAGCGCTCATCAGCAAACCCGCAGTTCATTGAGGGGGGCAGATTTAGAGCATATTACATTTTACACCTGGTATATGGGTGTAATATATAACATGCTCTTACAAGATGAACTTATCCTTTAAAATGGTAAAATTAGGTGAGTGACATTTCTGTGTAAAGTGACACAATGGCCATCTGGAAAACTTAAGGTTCGCCACACAGAAAACCGTAATAAAATATGAGCAGAATAACTAAAACAAAAATGAATATAAATTAATGTTATTTGGCAAATAGTATTTACTATACGTTTTCAGTGATATTGACCAAAAATTGCAACACGGATACCAAGTAAATAGAAATATTTAATTTTATTAATTGACTGACTTAGGTTTATTAACATTTATAGGAACTGTATGTATAAAATATACACTTCATACAAAGTATACTTCAATGTGTAATGGGTAGTAACCCAGATCAAATAGTTAAAATCCTTCTTTCACCAACAGTACTACAGCAAACAGGGTATTGATTGGTTGTGTACATCAGGTTTGCCCTATGCACTGCTTCTTTGAATGAGCTTATATGCATTCATTCTATGGACATGTTCAGTATATTACTAATGCAGGTGCTGAAAAGTGCAAACATACATGACTTAAGTACATGCAAAGAGTTAGAGGCTAATTCCTCAAACAGTTCAACGGATTATTCCATACACTCCTGTATAAATTGCAGTAGTTATAGTTTATCCCATCTGATGTTTAAATGGAACCTGTCAGGATAGAAATATTGAAGTTGCTGCTTTGGTTTTTAAAGTACAAGCTCCAGTACCACTCTCCATACTCTTGTTCACTACCTAGTGATTCAACCTCCCAAATCCAATACACATCAGATCAGATTTCTCAACATACATAGTATTTTGCGCCTTCAAAAAAACAAGTCAGCAATGGTTGCTTCCATTATTTCATTATGACAGGTTCACTTAAAAACACAAAAATTAAAGAGGTATTATTTTTAATAAAAAAATAGGAAGCATAGAGAACATGTCTGATTTAAGAAAAAATATACATTTATATTAAATGTACTTAAAAGCCAACACTGCCTCTCGCAAGTGAATAACCAAGCTTGTTGCGGTTTCCAATGAAGGATGTCAAGCCAACATATGTCTCAATTAAAAGAGGCTGGTTTAGAATGAGGGCTCCATTGGCTCGGCCTGGCACGGGGTTTGTCTTGTGTGCTTCTTGTACAGCTTTTATTAGATGATCGGTAAAGCTAGACAGCTGCAAAGAAAAGAGAAGCAGTCATTAAAAATCTCAGTTCTGCAATATCATATGCTCCAAAAACTAAACTAAATGTTTTTAGTGCACAGGTCAGATTCCCTATATGTATACAAAATGGCGTTTCTGGAAATAAATCTATCCAACAACTCAGAAGAAAAAAAAAATAATAAAACAGATTACACCTGCTACCAAATGTGTTAAATATATAAAGTGTTTATCACTAGAACCAGATGACTACAGTGAATTGCAATACTGTTAAAAATTATGAAGTTACTGTGCTCACTGAGTATACCTCATTTATGAGCTGAGGGCTGGAGGGTGCAAACTCTTTGATTGCATTGCACTGCATTATCTATTGGAGTCTGACATTTGTCATACCAAAGGTAATGCATCCTCCAATTGAAGGAGATTTATCAGAACAAAAATATGTAGGATGCCATCACTAACTTGTGTTTAAAAAGTGAATGTTCCAAGCAGGAGTGGACTGACAACTCATGGGGCCCCCGGGCAATAGGGGATCATGGGGCCTCTGTGCCCTTGCTCACACTCAAAGCACACCCAAAAAAGCCTATAAAAAGGTACCAGGGGCATTTCATGGGGCCCCCTACTGACCCCAGGCCCTCGGGCAGTGCCCGAGTGCTCAAATGATCAGTCCGCCCCTGGTTCCAAGACTATCTTTTTACTATGATGCAGTGCATACCTGAATGGCTCTTATATCACGGTTGGTAAGCAGGAAGTTGAATGATCGCATTGAGTCCCTAAAATTCCACTAGTATCTAGTCTACAAATCATGTAATGCCTATATACTGCAATTAATATAAAAATGTGTTTCACATATATCATGTCATTTATCATTTCAACAGTGCTGTTACATTTTTCATCAAAATGATGCTATCTGGTGATGCTGCTATGCAGATCCCTGTGCATGCACTTCCTTTTATAGGGTGACAATACTCTGTCCCAGTCTCCCATCTGTGCTCCTGTGTTGTCACCCTGTCAGACAGGCTTGCGATGGTGGCTACTAATGGTAGTTTCAGGACACATTATGAAGGCATGGTGCCCTGATGTCACCATCAGAAAGCCCACACTGAGAAATACCATGTATTCATCACTGGAGTGTATGCATTTAGACAGAAGTGGCTGACAAGAGGCTACAGAATATCATCAGCATCAAAGGTAATGCAACAAAGGATGCACAAAGGTGAAAGCAAGTTTATGGAAAACAGCAACTGTTTACAATACATAGGGAGGAGTGGGCTGTGCATGGTATCCAATCAGTTTCTAACTGCAGCTTTTTCAAGTAAGCTTTGACACTAAAACCTGGAAGCTGATTGGTTTCTATGCAGAGCTGCACCAGATTCTGTGTGCTCCAGTTCTAGTAAATCAACCCCACACTGCTTTAGCAAACTAAATGTCAAACTAAAAGACCTTTGGCTGTACTTCTTTTTTAAAAGCACAGAAATTAATTTTATTATCTTTATATTCACTTTCTAATAACCTATATATGCAGTTTCACATAAGAAACCTATTAGAGGCTTGAGCAGTAGACAAAATAGAAAACCTGGTGCAAACTGAACAGAAGGCTGCTTTATATTGTACAGAATATAAATGAATAAAATCCATCAGTAGTAAATTATGAATATACCTAGGCATCATGATATTGTAATTACAAGCTGCACCACCTTGTAATGTCCCAGACTACTACTGCAATGTAGCACACACCTGTGTTCTAGTGTTTCCTTATGGTATTGTCTTATAGGTGCATCTGTGTATTCTTTGCGCTGTCTATACTAGGTTAGGCTTTGTAAGTGACAACTTTTATTATACACACCGTATTAAAGATGTTTGATGTGATACTGAACAGAAATATGGTTCTCAGTGAGTACGTGATGATTTTATTAAACTATCTGAAAATACATATAAGTCTTCATTTAGGCTCAATGGTGATGAAAAGAGAAGAATGGCTCAGGATGCCCTCTAGTGGGAACATTAGGGCACACATTTCGCAAATTAGTTTATCCTGGGCACACTCCACTGCAATATGTCGAAATAAGTG